GGAAGTAAAACTAACGCTTTCAAGTTTTACTTCCTTTGGGATGCGTTGGGGTTATTTTCCAGCTCAGAAGGTAAAGTGGAGCAACTATGCGGAAGACCTAGAAAGGCAGATCCCAGATGACTGCTGCTGGAGATAATTTGGGGGGGATTTGGCCATAAATATTGTAACTTTCAGTCAATACTTGGGTGAATAATTTTGCCTTAGCTTTCCAAGCTTTCATTGAAAGACAGAAAAAACCTCCCTTTGTACCCCCCAAAAAAACCTGCAGCTTCCCAAGAAATAAGAATATCATAAAATAATAACAAATGTGAATCAAAGCAGTATTGCTCTACAGAATTTCCCCAGAGCCTGAAGCAAGAGTTTTGAGAGGCACAAATGGGATGTTGAATGCTGAAGTTTTAATGTCATACTTAAAATGTCAGTATTTCTAACCACTTCAACTGCTCGTTATTTTAATGAAATTTGCAGCCAGCATGCTTCCCCCGCATTCTCACACTGTTGGTGTTTCTGCTGCTGAAAATGCCCACAGCTAGCCAGACCTTCCGTTCCTGCCCTGACAACTCTTAGGGCAGTTGTGATGAGCAGGACTGGGCCTTTCTTAAAGGTAACCTTTCATGAAGGAAAATTTACTTTTCATTAAATAGAGAAAAAATGAAGAGAATAAAGATGTATTGCATTTTCCCCCATAGCAAAGATAACTGAATTTAAAGAATAGCTATAAAAGCAGAACTTAGTAAATACCTAGGTTTATTTCTACAGTGAGAGAGCACAGGAGCTCTAAATCTACAAAAACATGCCGTATCTAAAACAAGTCTACAAGTGTAAGCCGTTATTGCCATTCCTCTCCTCAGAAACAGTGCAGCCAGTGGTTGGTGTGAGGTGGCTGATGGCCCCTCCTGCAGCCTTTGTACTTTGAGCCTTTCGATGACGCCTGTCCCCAGGGGCTGCCCCTGGGGAGGGCATCGCTGCAGGCCTGCCACCGCCAGCCCCTGCGAGCCCCTTCCCTTGCCAGCAGCCGGAGCCTTCTTGCTGGGGCATCAGGCAGGTGTCCCGAAAGCCTCTGCCCAGCTTGGAGCACGGAGGAGTGGACCTGGAGAAGGAGCATGGAGGCCTGTGTCTGAGTGCCTCCTGCTGCTGGAGACCCCCTCCCCTCTCCTGGCCACAGGCACGGGCTGGGGGATATCCAGCCCTGTCAGGAAGCATGGGGAATGCAGCTCCCCACAAAATACCAACAAGGTGGGGATCGGTGGACAGATTGGAGGACAACACCTGGAAGGCTACTCCCTTCCACTGCAGCGCTGTGGGCAGCAGTGGGCTGAGGGCTCACAGGTGTTTGTTGGGTGGAGGTGAAAGGGAATGAGGCCACGGCCATGGAGAAGGTGCTGATGGTGGTAATGGGCTGGCCTGGAGGAAGAGGGGTGAAGGAGGTTTGGGATTTTGTTTCCTCTCTGTTTAAGCAAGCATGGGCAGGGTGATTGAAGGGTGTCACCCTTAAGAGGCTTAACGAGAACATGCTTCATGGACACCTTGTAAAAATTCCTGTGACACATGGCTGTTTTGGCAGGCTTCACAGGAATTTGCAGTATCGGTTCAAATAGGAGTCAAATTCCTGGCGGGGCTGTGCGTATTCACCTTTGCAATGGGCAAGGTGTTTCTGCAGGCTGTGATTTAAAGGCATTCATTCCTGTACATACATGGCCATAGCCGGCGAGGAGTGAAGCAATCTGACTGCACAGGTTTGCAGGCTGGTAGGACACGAGGCCATGGGCGCAGATGGAAACACAGGACGTTCACTCTGAACATCAAGAAAGGCTTGGGTACTGTGAGGGTGACCGAGCAGTGGCACAGGTTGCCCGAAGAGGTTATGGAGTCTCCATCTTTGGAGATTTTCAAAAGCCATCTGGACACGGTCCTGGACAACTGGCTCTAGGTGACCCTGCTTGCACAGAGGAGTAGGAGCAGATGACCTCCATAGGTCCTCTCCCACCTCAACCATCCTGTGATGCCTGAAAGTTCAAAGCATGGCTTCTAGTACCCTGTTTGTTACCCAGCAGTAAAACAAGCAGATCAGCCAGGGTTGGCACATCTGCAGCTGGCAGACCACCACCGGCAGGGCAATGGGGCAGTAACAGTGAGTATTTCTGCCTGACCAACAGAAAGCCACCCATTTCTGACCTGGTGTTCAGAAATACTAATGGTGGACTGCAACACAGGAGTGTCTTAAGATTTTTGTTTCTTCCCTCTTGGTGACAGCACAATTCTGGCTATCAGAGTCAACTTACAAGAGGATAAAAATAATGAGTGTAACAAATCTAGGTTTGAAGACCAAGAAAGTTTTAGCTGCATTTATCATTAAAAGATTGAGACCTTTACCGCATAGCTGTGGTATTTAGGTGTCCCTTTGCCTAGTTAATTATTGCCCTCAGCAGAGGTCAGTTAAGAACCCAGATCTCCCAGGCTATTTGACTGAGTGTGAGGCAATATTAATCCTCAAAAAGGACAAAAATGTGCAATTTACAGTTGTTAAAGTGAACCAGCTGATATCGTGATGCAGTCAGTACCATCAAGGGGCTGAGCGTGGGAGATGAAGTCTAGGGGTAGTGGCAGAAGCTGCTGTTCTCTAACAGAGCTGCGATTGGAAGTGGGACACTGAAGAGCCGATGTCTTAAGGCGGTAGCTGAACACAACAGAGATGATTTTCCAGCCCACCTATCCAAGGGGCTGCAATTCCCCATGTAAAGCTGCCCTGCCCTAACAATGCACTTCCAATCCAATAAGATTGTCTGCAGGCATACTAGTTCTTGCCAGCACTTTCCTTCTGAAATGAATTTAGCTGATCGGAATTTCAAAGTCTAGTAAAAAGTAACCAGCTTTGAATATCATTAATAAGTAGATCTGCTCGTGGTAGTTCAGCTTCCCTGTGCCCACTGCAAAAAAAACCTGTACGATCTGAACCTTGGGGCTCCAGATCAGCTGTAAAACCCCCTCTCCCTATTAATTCCACTATCAAAACATGAATAATATGTAGGTGCTGGTGGCTAGTGCAGAGGGGTTTTCATGCTTCACCATGTGAGGTATCTTAGACAAGAGTTGATTCATCAGGGGTGTTGAGGAGGCTGCATGTGCTTCTTCCCCCTCTGTTATGCCTGCGTGATGCTCCATCTCATGTGCTAGCGACTGGCTCCACGGCCCCCTCGCACCCCGAGCCCCGGTAAACCCAGCACTGCTCCCAACGCCGTGTAAGAATGCACAGCAAGCAGCATGACGAGGTTGCCCATATTGATACACAAGTGATGTGTCGCCATACTTCAGCACTTGACTAGAGAAACCACCTTTGCAGAGCCAGAGGATAATGCAGTAATTATGCCAGTTAAAACTTATTTATCTCCTAAGGCTATTTTTCTTAGGTCATTAGCGGTGATAGATTTATGATGAGCAGTAACTCTGCAGTAAGACCACAACTTGGATAATAATTTCACAATAAATCTGAGCAGCAGCATTTAGATAGCCAACTCCCTCTTTGGTAGGTATTGCGACAGGGTTTAAACAAAATTCCTCTGAGATAATGTTACTCTGTCCTCCTATGGCTTTCCACATTGCATAAGAAATCTGACAATTTAGGAGTGATGTTTTAAGTATCAGGAAATGCCCCTGTACTGAAGAGGCTGCATTGCTGGTTACTACGGAGCAGAGGAACCAAAAGGGGGTGGGAGAAGCTCAGGAGATGAGAAAAGTGCAGGAGAGCCTGCGGTCTCGGCGTTCAGAGGCTGTGTGTGCTACCCTGGCAACGTCAGGGCTTGGCTAATCCTTGCGTTTTGCCTCCTGCCCCTGGCTGCCCTGGGGAAGGTCTGTGAGAGTAGTGAGCTGGCAGCAGCTATGCAGCGTCTTGGACTGGTTTCCAAAATTTCCTTTGTGAAATCTTCCTCGTGCTTCATTTTTGTCCAGGCGAAGGCCAGCATTGATTAAATACGGTCAGAACCATGGCATAAATTGGACGTGGTAGTATTTTCCTCTGTTGTTTTTGTGGAAATATATGTTAGGCTTGATTTGTGCTTCTGTGTATGGAGAGCAAGGTACAGAAGCATACCGGAATTTATTTCCAAGAGTAGAAATCCTGTGTTGGGTTTTCCAGGGACATTTTTGAAGTTATGTTCCATTCGTTTTTCATATTTGTTTGCCTTTAAGAATAAAAGGACTCCCCGTGCCATCTGCACTCCCTATACAGTCATCTTTCTGGTTTTCCGTGTCAGGACCTCGGCTCTGGCAGACCCGCAGCCGGTGGTGGTGCAGTGCTGGCAGGACTCCGAGGGCCGAGCACGTGTGCAACATCCCCGGCGCAGGTGAGTTCTACAAGCGGGGCTGTCGTGGGCTGCCCTCTCCTCTTCCGGTTGCAAATAGATTAGCAACGGCTGGTTACAGCCCTGTCTTGAAAACACAAAGCAGAACAACACTCCAGTCCACCATTCCCACTTTCCACAGGGAGATCTGTAGGGCGGCCATCACACATGGGAGGGAAAGGTTTCTTTCCTTCCCCTTTTTGTCCGTCTTGATGTTTCCCGAGCAAAGAGGTTTCCATAGAAGCTGTTTATTAATTAGAAGTTACACTAACCTCAGGAAATTTAATTTTTCTTTGAAGACAGTAAGAGCTTGACTGCTTGCAGAAGACTGGCCTACGTGCCAGTCTTGCCAGCTTGGTTCGTTTTAGCATGAAAAGCTGCAAGAGTTGAGAGCTGAGCAGCACTGTCCACATGAGATCTGCTTCACGCAAGGAACGGGGTAGGGAATTTTTGCTTCCCGGGAGCGGGTTAGGCACAGTGTTCATTGTCTTCTCGTCTGCCAGGAGCCCCGGCACACGCTGTGGGGGGCCACGGGAGGGGGGAGGCTCTGCAGAGGGGTTTGCAGGCAGGGTCTGGCCGCAGCCCCCCAGAGGAGTCTCCCAAGTTCCCTGGTCCATCGTGGGAATGGACAGAGCTGGGCTAACTGGAGGGTGCAGACCTGGCATGGAGCAACCCTGCAAATCAGCAGCCGCCTCAGACTCACCTCCTCCTGCAAGGGTGAAATTCATTACCCTTGGGTCAGCACAGCTCCCCTCTCCCCTGCCTGCGTGACCCAGCTTAGGAGCTACACGGGCATCGCGCCGGAGTCACCGGCAGCTCAGAGAGAGCTGGTGGACTCACTGAGAGACACAACGCAAACCCCCGTCAGCATGGACCTCTGGCTTCGTTCAGCCCAGCAGGCAGGCACGCTCGCTGCCGCAAAGTGAACCAGTAATGAAAAGCAACATCAGATGCTCTTCCAGCCTGCCGCTTCTGGTGATTAACATGGTTTTAAGAGTCACCCGTGCTCTCCTGCTGTTCAGAGTACGGTGGGAAGCTGTCTGCCTTTTTACAAGAACAAGGAAACATTTTGACCATATATTCTGTTACATTCAGCTGTGCTGGAAAGCAACCTAAATAGCGGGTCCGCTAAGGTGACTCATTTTGGTGAAGACAAGGACAGCCAAGACTCACGCCTAAGCAGGATGAAATGGTGTCAGTTAATTTTTAATGCCTTGCTCACCCAAAGAACTGTCAGGTTCACAGAGCAAACATAATGGAAATGGCTGGAATCTTTCCTTCTCATGTCTTTTCATCTTTTTTTAAATTATTGGTGTTACTTGCGTACACCTTTGAACCAGAGGCACAACTTGTTTGCTTGCCATGGGACATCCCTTTTGCTATGTCAGAGCACAGCAGAATCATTATTTACCAAGAAGACCAGCTGACAATGCAGTTGTTTACCCACGGGCAAAGGAGCTTGGTTGTAGATTAACCATTAAACAGCCACAGAAACTAGATTGGTGTCACCCTCGTAGCCTCATTCTGTATTTTATTGTCCAAAGATAAATGCATGAAATACAGCATCCTCTTGTGGTCGAGCTTATTTTGCATCATTTGTGGACTTGCTTCACTGGGCTTACTCTGCTTATTGTGGTAACTGAAATTTGCCAGAGGAAAGTTCTTTCCTTTTCCTCAAAAACTAGAGAGAGGCACACAGGAACTGCCACACATCTCCAGGTTTTGGTTCTTGCTGTCCAGAAGACAACAGGATGATGTCTTACCAAAGCAGGTGACATTCCAGAGATGTACAAAGATTTCTGGAGCAGTCAGCTCACAGACCGAGTGTTTTGAAGTCCAGAGTGGCTGCACAACTTTTAGCATGCTTGCCACCTTCCTTTTCCCCCTTTTCTGTGTGTTTTACAGGCTTTTCCCTCCCATTGCATCCATCTTGTCAGCACAGAATCACAGAATGTTCGAGGTTGGAAGGGACCTCTGTGGGTCATCTAGTCCAACCTTCCT